GGCTCAAACTTACTTTTAGCCATTTATTTTAATAAGTTTATAGGTTTTAACCCTTTCACCTTATACTATAACACTTTTAGTTTTTTACTTTAATAAATTTATAGGTTTTAACTTTTCATCTTATAATATGACACTTTTAGCCCATCACCTATATGAATTGAGGAAAATAACTTTTATTTAAGATTAAGTTATAATGTTCTATTAATTTTTGTTAACTGACTATTAACTTTGTTAGTTGACTGTTAGCATTCTATTAATATTCCGTTAACAGAACTAATAAATAAAATTGAATTTAAATTTTATATTTTCTATAATAAAATACTAACGGATGTTAACAGTCAGTTAACAAAGTTAACAAAACTAATAGTTAACTAACAAAACTAATAGTTAACTAACAAAACTAACAGAACATTATAATCTAGTGTTAAGTGAGGGGTATTTTCTTCAATTCGTATAAATGAAGAATTAAAAATGTCAGAATATAAGGTGAGAGGTTAAAACATATAAATTTATCAAGGTAAAGGACAAAAAATGTCATAATATAAAGTGAAAAACTAAAACCTACAAATTTATTAATGTAAAAAGTTAAAAATAAGTTTTTACTTATGCCAGACATACAAAAAGCCACATTATAACCTATAATATTAAAGTTCTATGTTTTCAAAAAACTAAAGTGCCATATACCCTCATATAAATTACACTTTTTATAACCTTTAATAAAAAAAGTATAGATGAATCTGACTCTTCAGGTCAAGTAGTCACATGACAAAATATTAAAAATAAATAAATAAATAAAAGAAGTATAGATGAGAAGTTCTTGGTGGCCTAGTGACTCCCTCTGTCTTGATAAGGACATTTTCATACATGAATGAGATGTATGCTTCAAATTTCACCCTTTTGTTAAAACAAATAAAATAAAATAAAATAAAAAAACCATGGCTCCTCGTACGAGGACTCACCCCTCCATGGCTAAAATGTAATCCAGTCCGTGTTTAACTCCATTAAGCGGTTTGATGGTCGCACGTTTTATTGAGTTTAGTAAACTGTTTACTAGAATTAGAGATTCAATTTCTAGTTCCTAACATTTGACAATACTAATTTATTAATTATTGATTTTATCAAAAAAAAAAAAAAAAAAAGCAGTCCGTGTTACTATACAAACAAGTGAATGAGGAAAAAATTGTAAATAAATGCATCCATAAAGGAACATTCTTTGACAAATCTTCAGTCTGTTAAAGGGGTAGTGAAATTCACCGTCCAACCTTAATACGCTTGAATCATTGAATCAAAGCAAGCGTCAAAAATCCAAAAGCTAGCTCTATTTACCTATTCTTCCCTATTGTTCTTGCTTTTGGAGCTTGATTGTATTCCTTGACTGTGCCATGATTTGTGGGCAAAATTCTTGAAATCATTGCCTTCCCTAGCTTTTGTCTCCTAAAAGCTTTGTGGGTCTTCGTTAGTTTATGCAAAGAGAGGACTTTTGTTCCTCAATAATACTCCCGTTTTAGTTTTTATTTTTTTGTGATGTTTTAATG